TTCGGTCACATTATGAGACACCCTGAAAAATATGATCTTTTACATCTGATCATTCAGGGAAAGATCCAAGGTAATCGTGGTCCTGGTAGACGAAGAACATCATGGCTGAAAAATCTAAGGCAATGATATGGAAAATCAACTACATTGTTATTTAGAGCTGCTGTCAATAAAGTCACGATAGCGAATATGGTAGCCAACATGATATCCAACGATCGATAACGGTCATGGAACTAAAAGAAGAAGAAACCAAAAAGATTCCCAGGTCCTAATAGTCTTAGGCCTGCCGCCTTCCAGAAATGCGGTTGTCTTTATTCCTATTGTGTCCTTTAAGCCACCTCAGGGTGAAGCTTGAGTTAGTGACTCCTGACACTCCATGATTAACCCTGATGTGACACGTGGCCTATTTAAGGCTAGTTGCACTCAGCTCTGTCTGAACTACGCTGACATTTTTGCCCATATCCCACTTTATTCTTATGTTCCATGATCTGGAGTATATCCCGCATCCTAAGCCTTTTTCCATTTTGGAGCCGTCGGTGTACATGCAACACGCATTTGCCACGTTTGACTCCCTATACTTATTATTGACTCCCTGTACTTATTATTATTATACTGACTGTCTTATTTCGATTTGGTAGGATTTGTCAAAAACAAACTTTGGTCTAATGGAGTCGCAGCCTGTAGCAGGGATAGCGCATGCAGCTCTCCTTGTCAGAAACGAGTTCTCTTGTACCACTTCTACATCAAGGTTTGCACCCGCTGACGCAGTCGCATCATTGTCACCAGCGCACCTTTTTGTTGATCGCTGTTGCCTGTAGCACTTTAGGTACCAAAGCAATAGCTCCGTAAGTTAGCATTGAGCTAATGACAGCCGTGAAGATCCAGGCGAAAAGCCCCAGGTGTGTCCGACCGTTCATCGACACTGTTCATAGGCAATATATGCTCTTTTAGGTCTACCATCTAAGTGGGAGTTCCATAATAAATTTCTATCAAGGGTAACACCAGGTATTTCACTCGTCAGAACAGTTAGACTGTAGTTTAGAATCCTTGGGGTATTAAGCCTGCGATTCTTCTTTTTCTGGTGAAGAGGACAATATCTGTCTCCTTAGGATTTATAGATACTGAGTGTTCCTTGCATATCTTTTATCAGCCGAGACTTGATACATGCAACATATCGTCTGCATAGGCTCTTGTGTAGAACCTGTTGGTACTGAGTTGATCAAACAGGGTGTCTAGAACTACGTTCCAGAAATGGTAACTCAATATTTTCTTTATCCACGGAACCGGTCTAGGCTAACTTGATATCAATACATCCCCGTACAATATTGATGTACTCAGATTTTATGAGTATTTAGTGATCCCCCCACGTCAGTGTAACTCAAACTATGGTATACAGCCAACCACTGGGAAATTCCCTTTTAAATTCTATTTGAATGTATTTTGTTTATTAATTTTACTTGTGGTGTATTTTAATTCTTATTTTAAGTGGTTTTAACTTAAGTAATGTAGTTCGTACACTAAGTAAATAAATAAATTAGGATTTAATTACGGCAAAGATTTTAGCACAATAAAACATTAACAATTATAACTTTAATCTAATACTTACCCAAGGCGGATGATTTAAAGCAATACTTTGAGTCTCAAGGTACTTCTTAATGGCCACAAATTCTTTATAGTTAGGACCCCATCGATACAGCATTTTATTGACATACTGATTGTAAGCTGTAAATCTCATATCGTCCGTCACTTTACATTCTGGTTTGAAATTACTAGGAGGTACTATTTTACATATTCCGAATTGTTCGGCTTTGTGACGAATTCGTTCTATATACTCTAGAGGATCCTGTAAATAATACAATTATGTATTTCCTAAATTTAGCAAATTCAGATACAGAGAAATCGTAGTCATAAGAAATGAAAATATACCTGAAATTCTTGATCTGTGGGATGGAACACAGGCGCTTCAACCAATTTTGCAGGTTCAGTATGTTTCGGAAAATCTGAAACGTACACGGGAGATATCGAATCAGCCGCCTTGGTCTTTTGTTTCTGTGGCTGTCTTTTGTACAATTTAGCGCTGGATGAAGAGCTGGCGCTCGGAGAACTTGGAATCTTATATTTAAATTCATCGATATCTAGTAGTTTTTCTGAACTCTTCGACTTAAATAATTGCTTATTTTGAGTTTTGGATGTTGTCGATTTCGCTGTGGGTTTTTGTGGAACATAAAACTGTTTACTGTCCTCTGCTTCTAAGGTTCCTTCTGATTCGTCTTTGTTAGTTCCTTTTGGAGTGTCTTGTTTTAATGAAGGCTTACGAAAGTGACCTACAAATATTTAAGTCATTGATATAATGCATTTAAAAGTATTTTTACCAAAAACATATTAAAACGTAATGATGCAAAGTCCTTTACGAGTACTTATCGTCTTGCTACTCTTCTATTCGTCCATAAAGCATACTGAATCCATTGGGCTCCATTTCTTTTCTTAATATCAGTTTAATACAGGACTCCACATAAGCTACACTCCCAATCATCTATTTTACTTTTTTTTTGCTTTTTGGACAGATTTGTATGAAGTCGAGGGTTGTTCCTGAAGATTTTCTGTTACTGAAGTGTTTTCATTTGTCGGTGTTAAGAATTTCGCACTTCAGTCCCTTTTTTTTGACCTCTCTGGACGTTTTGAAGCTGTTGGTGTTTTCAAAATATGATCGAATGTGGCTTTAGGATTTAAAATGGAAGTTTCAGGTGCTGCGTCCGTTGAAACTGGAGAAGCAGGAGCTATGTCAGTTAAAGATGAAGGCCGTAATGCTTCTTTTGGAATAACATCTTCGTTTAAAGGACATATGCCTGTTTTTTAAAAACATTCTCAATGTTTTTCTTTGTAAAGGCGCTTAGGTAAGCTGGATTCAAAGTAGAATGGAAGTTGCACGTCAAGTAGTTGCAATAGATGAGTGCAATGAGCTGGGAAAGTATAAACTTGATTATTTTTCGCTATTTTCAAAACTTCAGCTCCAATTTGGGCAGAATGAGAGTCCATCAACAAGACTACAGGACGTTCCATCCTTTAGGAGATAATTTTATTAATGCGTTGGGAAGGGCATCATTTTTAAGTGTATCATTCCATCTAACACCTTTAAAGATTACCATAGGAGGAATCCATGTTCCATCAGCACAAATGCATGCTAACATAGTTTAAGTTTGACCTCATTCAGCCTAGGATCTTTTATAAACATACTTTTTACCAATGCCGGTAACAACTTTGGAAGGTTTCACTACATACGATAATCCAGTTTCATCGCAATTCCAAATTAAATTCGGTTTGTTTTTTATTTAGTTCAGTTTCGAAATCTTGATCATAATCTTAGCATAAACTCTGTAGCCAGATTTTGGCACACGAAGGCACAAGTTGTACCTACTTTTAAAACTATTCCACCACCATTTGCTTGCAATGCAGTTAGTTGACGGCAAGAATTTCTCCCGACCATTCACTTTAGCAAGATCATAAACATATTTTCTAATTTGATACACGGTTAGTCCAAATCCCAATTCTTGCATTTCTATAATATAATTATAAAGCCTTAACAATGCAAAATGCCTCCCCAGTTGGCTTACCGAATCCTCTTGATTCGCTAGGTAACGTTTCAAAGTGCTCCATGGGACTTCTACTTCCTTTGGAGCTTTATATATAGTCGTACCTTCATTTCTTACTAATCTGACAGCGTTTTGAAGTTGCTGTTGATTATATTTTCTATATTTACCCTCTTTTTTCATTGCAAATCTAAAAGTTAAAATTAAATAGGTTATTTGGTGATATCGGAATCTTGTATAGGTAATTTGGCGATAAAAAAGTTAACAGCTTTTAAAAATAAAATACATTTACAGATTCCTCAAAACAATACCTTTTGCATAGTATACTACACTTCTCTATTTTATTTTAAATAAAAGAACAAAATATATCCAAACTTAACGTCTCAAAAGTTCTTGAAAATTGTGCGCAAAAACACTAAGAAACAACAACCGCAATTTAAGGAATAAAAACTTACTTTGGCTAAATCACGAATTGTGTGGTAATCTGATTAAAAATTATCACCAAATTACTTGTATCACCAATATACCTTTCCTTACCCTACCCTTATAGTCCAGTCATCAGCGAGTTGACCCCTAAAAATCATACGAACAAGCTGAATTTTGCAGAGAATATTAATTTTGAGACCCCAAAATAGATGCAAAAAAGTTTACCCCGTTCGCAGGGGGACAAAAACGAAAAAAATCGATTTATCAAGAATCTGTACACAGTAAAAAAAATGTTTCAAATAAAAAATGTAGCTGGATAATTTTAAACAAAAATGTGGATAAGCTTTTTGGTGTATATGAACCGTTCTCTTGGAAACAACGCTTGAAGCGACCGTCGATTTTGCATGTCAGTTACGCGCGCAAAATCAATGTTTAAAATTTGTATCAGCTTGACGGTAAAAATTCAATATTTCTGATCGTTTGCATTTTCCACCCGCTTCTCTTGTTAATACTTTTTTTGTATGTCTGTTTGTGGAAATCCTGTAAAAATGTTCCATCCAACGGGCTATTTGTGCTTTTAGTTTTTGTATGACGCTTGGTTGGTTGTAGAGCTCCATTACTTTCTTATTTGGTTTTTTCCATATGCCGTCATTATCCTTTGTCCCTCCATAAAATAATTAATAAAAAAATATTAAATTAGAAAGTGAAGCATCTTTTATTTTTTACTAAAAAATTTGATGATCTTTATTCCGTTATTATAAAATTATGTTGACTTATTTACTTAATATAATTTAAGTTAGCTTTGCGGGACACGGGACGGGACAGAGAAAATAGCTGCGGGAAAAGTTGGAAAAGTGCGGTACGCTGGACGGGACAATAGCCTGTCCTACCTGAAACCTAACAATATACATACAATCTTTTAAGGTTCTTTCAAAAATAAAGTACTAAAAGTACACCAAAAGTACACAGAATTAAACCTTGTGAATTTTTGTAAACTCTCATTTATTTACATTAAAGTTAATTTAAGATTTAATAGTTCTGAAATAAATAATGCTAGCCAAAATATTTACATTTCTCTGGTTCTTTCAACACTGGGGAATAAAAATTTTAAGGTCTATATTTTAAAGTCAAATGTTTATACACAAAATGAATAACAACAAGAAAAATTCAGCGAGATACTAGAAACAATAAACTGATTTTTTAATGTTGCTCGAATTTCATTAATTTCATTAGTTTTCTGAGCTTGGCGGCGATTCTTCCTTCTTGACATACTTGTACCTCATTGCCAGAAATGTAAAGATTAACATATCGACCACCATAAGTCCACAATATAGGAAAAAGTCGTGACTCTAAAATAGAAGAATAAAATGAATCATAAAAGTAAAAAGTGTTATTATAAAAAAAATTGTAAAATAAAATAAAAATTAGTATTTGTAAAAGTGTATGTCTCCAGATTGGAAATAAAAAATTTAAGAGTTCGAGAAATTGCAAGTAAATTCATTAATTTAGTTATCTTTTTGACTTGTCCTAGTCTAATCTATCTTTTCTAATTATCTTTTAAAAATACCTTGATACAGACCTTGACTGACTGCGAGGCACAGTCTAATGCCGTCTCAACCGAACCAAAACAAGTGTGGATGTCTGCAGATACTTTTGACCTCGTTGAAGAACGTGGAAAACTTAAAATTGCTGGAATCGAGAACCCACTCAGGAATTCCCAGTACCGACAGCTATCTAGAGCTATTCAGGCTGCTTGTAGACGAGACAAAAACAAGCATATAGAGAAAATCTGCAGAGAAATTCAACTACCGACACAAATAACACCAAAGAACTCTTTAATAAAGTCAGACAACTCACACGTAAATTCAAACAGAAATCTTGGTCTATCAAAGATGATGAAGGTAATGTACAGACAGATTTGGACAAGTTTATTGATGTTTGGAGGGCGTATTGTAAGTCTTTATACGCCAATACGGACCAGATGCCAGCGGACGCCCCGTTTGTACCTGACTGCCAGACCTCCACTTTCCATTCTCCTTCAACAGAGACACACCACACTAGTTTTGAGTCTGAGCCTGACATACTTTTTTCCGAGGTGGAATTCGCTTTAAAAAGACTTAAGTTAAACAAAGCAGCAGGATATGATCTCATTACTGCAGACGTCTTGAAGCATCTTCCGGAATGTGGAGTGAAAATATTACATCGATTGTGCAATGAAATATGGCACACAGGCGTCTGGCCTGAGGATTGGAGAAAGACCATAGTCATACCACTTCATAAGAAAGGTTCAACAAATAATTGTAACAACTACAGGCTATTAGCTCTAATATCACACGCCAGTAAGGTGATCCTCTACATACTGCAACGGCGTCTAGAAAACTTCATAAGTTGGCAAATAGCACCTGAGCAGGCTGGATTTGTAAAGGGCAGAGGTACTAGAGAACAAATCCTTAATGTACGAAACATCATAGAAAAAGCCAGAGAATACCAGATCCCGATATTTATATGTTTCGTCGATTATACAAAGGCCTTTGATAATGTTAGATGGGACAAACTATGGAACATATTGACGACAATGGGTGTACCTAAACACTTGACTCACCTTATTAGCAAACTGTATCAAGATAACCTGGCATATATTCGAATGGACGGATATCTGTCTGACAAATGCACTTTGGAGAAGGGAGTACGCCAAGGATGCGTTTTATCTCCCTTATTATTTAACATCTATTCGGAGTTCATAATGCGCAGAGTTTTGGATGGTTGGGAGGGAGGAGTAAACCTAGGTGGTGTTAAGATATCTAACTTGCGTTTCGCAGACGACACTACACTTCTAGCCTCTACTCCAGAAGAAATTATTAAATTATTAAAAAAACTCGAGGTAGAAAGTGCTAAATTTGGACTCATGGTTAACTACAACAAAACCAAAATCATGGTTATTGATCGCCAACAACAGTTTCCTGAAACCCAAACTATTGCGGGATGCGAGGTAGTCTCATCTATGATATATCTTGGAGCTCTAGTTAACAACACAGGCAGTTGTGAATCCGAAATTAGAAGACGCATTCAACTAGCAAGAGCAGCAATGAGTGAACTAAACGGGGTCTGGCGTGATCGTCACATTACTATGACAAACAAAAAGAGACTCGTTTCAACTCTGGTCTTTTCCATATTTTACTATGCATGCGAGACATGGACAGTCAAAGAATCAGATCGACGACGTATAGACGCCTTTGAAATGTGGACATGGAGACGCCTGCTTCGAATTCCATGGACGGCTCGCCGTACAAATATCTCGGTTCTGGATGAAATTAAACCGGATCAGCGTCTCTCCAGTACCGTTTACTCTAGAATTTTAAAGTTCTTTGGCCATATCCATCGAAGTGATCACAAAATGGAGCGGTTGGTGGTCCAAGGAAGGCCTCAGACTCAACGCCAACGCGGAAGATCTCCACAGCGATGGGCGGACATTACTAAAAAGCTTCTCAATAAACAGTATACTGAGGCAATACATATAACTGATGACCGCGACCAGTGGAGAAATATTATCAATCAAACTGTCCGAGCTGCTGAAGCCCAATTATGAACCACAACACATCTACTAAGATGTTAATGACTGTGATGATGATGAGTCTAATCTGCAGAATGTTAATAAGTGTTTATCTATATCATTTAATCAGGCCGTTTTTAATCCAAACAAGACCGCAATTCCTTACTCAGGGAACAATTTCGCTTTCTATCACAAACTTTAGAAGTAGTTAGAGATTACAAAAACTTTATATCTGAAATTATCTGAACCTCTTGGAAAATAACGTAATTTATTGCAAAAATTGGTCAATACTTTTGCATCAATTGTCTAACATAATAATATGGTAAGTATACAACGTATATCTGTAGCGATAAGCTAATTATTTCAAAAATTAATAACAGTTCTTCATGTTAAAATTTACATTATCGCAATTGGTTATACACATGTGAAATAGAAATGACATAAAAATTGAAATGTGTTTCTCCAATATGTTTATTTACTTAATATTGTTCTAAAGCTATTTTCTTGTGGCATTTTAAATTAATTACTATTTAACTGGGAATAAGCCACAATTAAAGGTTAAAATACGTTTATTGACGTTTCAATTTCCACTTCGGAAATCGTTCTCAAAATACAAAATACTCAAAATTGTATTTTGAGAACGATTTCCGAAGTGGAAATTGAAACGTCAATAAACGTATTGTAAGCTTTAATTGTGGCTTATTCCCAGTTAAATAGTAATTAATGTTTATTTACTACAGATATGCTGGACACTGTACAGATACATTTTTCATAAATGGGAAACGAAATATGATATTGTAAGCAATAACATCACAAGATAAAAGGTCGATAATACTTGAGTTTACCGTCTGGCTTAGAAAAATAAACAAAGAACGTGTGTTCTGTGTTGTGTTTAGTTTAGTAATCAAACACACAAGTTGCATCACTCCGCGATATATACAAAAATACTTTCCCTTCGAGAATTAATTACGTTTTATGAAAATAATTACATTATTAACAAATTTTTTCCACGTTTTATTCAATATTATTATTATTTTTATTTTGTTTTCGTGGTAAATAAATTTATCACACACTCATCCACACAACCACGTAACATATCTATTAACGTAATTGTCAGATCCCAAATAAATTTTTGATACGGCAACTACGCATTTGTGACACCAACGATTAAGTACCTCTCCTATCTCTCTTAGAATAATTCCTTTTCTATTTTCGTGCAGCTGACCCGCTAGCTCTCACTTGTCGGATAATATAATGTTTTAAGGTTAAGTTTGTATAAAATAAAACAAAAATTAAAGCCAGCAGAAACAGACAGAAACATTTCGAACAATATAATGTTTCTCCTGTAAGACTGAAGTTCAGCAGTGTACTGAAAATATTGTAAGATAGAGACCAAACGACAGTCCGAAGATATGACGGGAGGACCAACTTGAAAGAGATTTAAGAGCACTGGAAATAAGGAACTGAATACAAACAGTACTAGATAGAGCAGCTTGGAGGCAATTAGTTAAAAGGCTAGATATTGGACATATAACCTATAAGCAGATAGATGGACTAAAGAAAAAATCAGTAGACTGATCCACAATGGTAAACAGATCTAAAAATTTCGTGAGAATAGCTACAATTTCTTTAGACATGTTCAACTTGTAAAGAATAACAAATAAGTAGACAGTTTGTTAGTATATTACATGTTGGGGTATATTTTTTACAAAACTTTGGTAAATAAATATAAAAATATAAAATATTCCAAAATTATTGTTTTAATACTATAACCTACCTTTTTCTCGAAAAACTCCATGGAAGATATAATAACAATAATTAAGTTTCCAAATGCAGTGGTCAATAAAAAGCAAGCTTGCAGTAAAGCCTTCATTGAGACCGGAGCTTGAGAGTACGAAAACTCTAATCCTGTGATGACAAACATAATTTCTGCAGCAGTTATAATAAAATATTGAAGAAGTAACCAAGCTATATGGATTGCATTCGGTTGTGTCACTATCGTATAACTAAAGTCCATTTGTTCCTGAAAGAAAACAATTTAAGATCGAGTAAACAGTATTCAATGAATAATTTTACCATACGTTTATAAAAAAAAAACTAGGTGACCTAGCGAATTTCGTAACGTCTTAGAATTCAATAATGTGTCAAAGTACAATAACTAAATTTTAAACGAAAACCAAAAAAAATTAAAAAAATATTATGTACGAAAAAAGTTGAATCAATTTAATGCTTTCTGATGAAAAAATTTTTGTTTTTTGCTTGTTACGATGACGGTTTCCGACATGCGAGTAATTGTCTGTGCGCGAAATATATAAACTACTCCGTGCGCGAAAGTTAATTCTTAAAACTTTCAGCTGTTGGCTTTGCGATTTGTTGATCGGCATTTCAAAAGTTAAACGTACGGTAGATTGTAGACGTTTAAAATCAAATGGTAAGTCTGCTGGAATCAGTATACGCGGGATCAAAATATCCACTCCTTTGTATTTTCCATCGTTTCCTTAATGACGTTATTCATTTGCCTTTCCACAGTGAGTCTCTTTCGATTACATAGACGAAATTGATTGACGTTGTAATTAGTAATAGTAATTATAAATTATGAGATGGAAGTCCAGGTAATTTCAATGAATTCAAACACTCTGTAGAATGTATCCTGGTTTATAACTGTGTCAACTTATTTGAACGACTACAACTTTTCTCGAAGAAAATTCTGATTGGTCGCATTAACATCATCGACATTTGTATGTTATGCCGTCAATATTGCTCATTCACTCAACCCATTATGATTATTGAAATATTGTGCTATGTCCAGAAAAACAAGCAAAATTAGCAGTTCTTTTGAGTCTGTCAAATAACAGAAATTTGTAGACAATGTGATCAGTAAACGGGCAGCACGGGTTCTGCGTATTTTCCCATGTTAAATCCCATAAGAAATCGCTAAGGTCTATTCTGGTCATTTTTTAAGCTTTTCGTTGTGGAGGCACGACGGCTCCGATCGTGACGTATGAGGTATCGTTGGAAAGGGGAGAAAGTAACAGATACGTTAACACAAAAACTAAAGATGCGGCATTGTTAAAGGTACACTTAGCTTGTAACGTCTAATCGGCGCAACGTACAAGAACGTGCAACGTATCGATGGAAAGGGGAGGTAGTAATGAATATGTTAAGACAAAAATCAAAAGCAAAGACTTTGTCAAAACAGCAGTATACCGTATCTCCGTTGTTATTAGTCAGATAACTACGTGTAACATGTTAAATAAAAGGGGAAGAAGTAACGAATACGTTAACACAAAAAACAAAGACAAAACACTGCCAAAACGGCACAATAGCGTATCTCCGTTTCTGTTGGTCCAATCTTTGCGAGTGAGGGCTCGTTGGAAAGAGGAGGAGATATCGAATACTTTATCATACAAAACAAAGACAAAGACATTGTCAAAACAGCAATATATCGTTGGTACAACAGGTGGTATTGATTTAACTGGTTAAATTTTATGACTGCGTTCGGACATCTTAACGTATCAATTTTGTCCATCATACTTCGTCGATTGATTGATTCTAATTGTGCTTTACTTATTCAATCAAATATTATATACTTATTTTACAGAAGTGGGAAGGACCTTATATATTACGTTTACAGACCAATTAGAGCTAATCATTAACTATGAAAGTAGAACACCTAAATAAAAACATAATAAATCACGACTTGCTGTAGATAAAATATAGTATGCAACTCACAATATATCTGTATTCAATACGTCAAATATTACGTCCTGCGTCGAATGCCATGTCATTCACGTCATTTTACGTGATATTTTCCGACAAATGTCATGCCTGCGTTGAATGTCACGTGTTGCGTCAAATGTCACGTCATTTACGTCATTTACCGTGACATTTCAGGTCAACGTTTCGTCCTGCGTCGAATGTCACGTCCTACATCAAGTCGAATGTCACGTCATTTCACGTCAAATGTCGCGTCCTGCGTCGAATGTCACGTGTTGCGTCGAATGTCACATAATTGTCACGTCCTGCGTCGAATGTCACATCATCCACTACGTTTGCTGAAGTTAGCAAACGTAGTGGAGTTTATAAACTTTAATGTTCTGACTGTGATGCCACTTATATTGGTAGAACTTGTAGACCTCTGGTAACTAGGGCCAATAAATATTCTAAGTTAGAGAATACTTCTTCTTCATCATTATCTTAAATATCACAATCACACAATCAAGATACCAGATGATGTTTTTCTTCTTCATAACATCCCAGGTAGAGATTATCTTAAACTTGACATTTTTGAGGATTTGGAGGTCGCCAAGGAAAAGAAAAATCGTCCCAATTGTGTTAATCGTTACACCAGCCTAAATAGAGACTTAGTATCACTACATCGACAATTATTCTTCTGATCCAGCTTTGTTTCTTTTAACTATACATCCAGTTTTATTTACTTCTACATTGCTTTCTCTCTTTCCCTTAGCTTAATCATTGCCCGATATATTCTGTCATACTTAACCCTATTCTTGTCATCATTAATACACTAACATCCTTACTCTAATATCCAATTTTCCATCCTATCAAATAATTTCCACCCTAACTAATCACACAGGTTTTCTTATAAATACTCACTTTATATCTATCTTTTCCTTATCACAGTCATTTTTAGTATCCCCAGTTTACATCTTCACGTTCATATCTCCTACTTCTTTTTCCTTGATTCATCTTCCATAATTTTCAAATTAACTTTTATCTCTACTTACTTCATATAATAAAATTATTAGGTAATAACATCCCCCTTTTTCACTTTTGATAATTATTTAATTTTCAATTACCTAACTTAAATTTTGTCTTAACCTGGTATACCAAATTTAATTTACATCACAGTCACTCATTGTTTGACATTCTTCCCCCTTGTTAACATACCAAAAATTGCTATTGATCCTACTACACATTAAACATAATTCTTCACTAAAAAAGGCCTATCCATAAACAGAAGCACAATGACTTTTGCTCCTACCATATCATTTCACTTGACGTTGATGGATACTGACTGATTTTTCATACCATCTTTCTATCAGTTAGCCCTACACTCCAGCACAGATTAGAGGTAATGTGTTTAGGATTAAACTTGAGAAGTCGCTGGTTTAAATTATATTGAATAAATAATTATAACGAAAAAATGTGATATTGTTGATACATAAAATTGGTGAACATAGCAATTATAAATTGTAAAAGTAGAAATAAATTAGAAATAAACTGGTTTACTCATTATCAATGTTTTATACAAGAATAGACTTACCCTTTGGTTCTATTGATGAATTCGTAACAGGTTGAAGAGTTGGTCGTTGGGCATCACGACGCGACGCTGCGGCCTTGGGGCGCCGAGGCTATGATTAACACGAGACCGGTCTCTGGAGGAGCGTTTAGTTCACGTCACTGTCTTACGAAGAAGTGGCTAAAATGTCCGTCTTGAGATCGCTACCAGGGCAAACCGCCCTCTGATCGTTGGGTGGTCAACAGATGCAAGTGCCATAAATCAACCACTTGTTTCAATCTTTTTTTGACAGAATACAAAGAAAAAGCCCAATTCTGCGTACGTTAACACGATAAATGAGAGCCAGTTTGAGTTTTACGAATTCACAGGATATAATATATTTTAAAAGATTGAAATACAGCACCTAAATTAGGTCATATTACAGTACCGTAACAGCAAAAATATTAACTGTAAAAATATAAAATGAATGCGCAAATACTTTCTCAAACATAATGTAAGTCGACAAAATTTCACCAGCTCCTGTTAATGTTAAATGCCCCCAGTTGTAGTTTTTTTTATTAATTATCGAAGTTAATGGTCTATTACATTTACCTTTGTAAATTCCACGAGTATTTTTTATTACTGATGTCCTTCTAGTGTTTTTCTGTGGCCCAACAATGTTTTTAACAAGTTTTTATGTAAGTAGTAAATAGCCAACGTGTTCTTTTTATACATTTAAATTTGAACTTACGTGTTTTTTAATATTGGTGTTTTACTTCCTCTTTTAGTAAACTGGTGATGGAATGATTTAATTCCGAAAAGATCTTTTTTAAAATAAAGTTTTAAGCTTTCAATAAGCATTTTTTTATACCTTGAAACACACGAACACCACGTGCTTTGATTTCTTATGGGATTTAACATGGGAAAATACGCAGAACCCGTGCTGTCCTTTTACTGTGATCAGTCTGATCGATAGCAATTTTACCATTAACCATTAGCAATGTCTAACAACTGCTTCGTAAATATACCATCGAACTTTGATCTAATAGCAAAAACACTCGCATGTTTTAAGTCAATTGGAGCGTCTTTACGTGCAATTGAATTGAATGAATGAATGAATGAAAATTGAACAAATTGAATAATTTAGGCATGCGGTTAGTTCGTCCGCAGCAATTGATCGGAGAATAATTGGAAGAGTCTGATAAAATCACCTGAAAATAGTAATATAGTTTCGCCAAAAATGTATTAGTTCTCACGAATATCTTTTAAAATTCTGTCCAGTGCTCCCAAACAATAAATTTGCATACCTGTAAAATCTTCGCCAATGCGCAATTTTTGGCTATGTTGCAAGCTATGACCCTCATATTCAATTTACTCTTGAAAAAGATGATCAAAACCAATATATTTCTTTTCTTGACACATTGTTCACCAGAGAACTGGATAACATGATAACAATTGATTGGTATAGAAAAAAGTGTAACTCTGGGAGATACCTCAACCACCATTCTTACCACAAGTCAAGCATAAAAGTTAATCTAGTGAAACAAATGAACACAAGATTTTGTAAACTGGTGACTTTTTTTTTGAAAGAAGAATCTCAACATCCTTTTACAATTGTTCCTAGATAATTCTTACCCCGAATCCTTACTCAGGAAAATCATCTTACTCAATACACAAGAGAACCCTCCCCAAAATACAGGTTCTACGAAAGTTAGCTCTGATTTCCATTCACTGACTAACAATATTCCTAAAATCGTTCTATTCCTAAAATTACCAAATGTAAAAATTGCTTATAAACCCAGTTTAGTTATGGGATCTGTGTACAAGATATTGAAAGACAAAGTACCAAACTCAGATAAAAGTGATGATTTGTTGTATACAAACTTTCCCTATCCACGGAGAGTAAATTTTATATAACTGACATTTGCGGTAGTAGTAATCCGATCTTTTTTTTTATTGAGTTAATGCCTCGACAACTATGATCATTGGCATGGTACAATCAGGTACCTAGTGTAGTGTGTGTGTATGTGTAGAGTAATTGTCTTGATACTTAGCAAAGTCGACGTCATTGTCTTTGCTAAGAGACGCTAATTGTATCTTAACGTCTGCGGTCCCTCCGGTGAGTACCGATCGCACATGGATAGAAATTATTTTCATTCATTAATTTTTAATAAACAAAAATTTCTCTACCCAGATGGGATTCGAACTCACGACCTTTAGGTTTAAAGGTAGGCGCTCTTACCACTGAGTCACAGAGGGGGTAGTAATCCGATCTGTTAATGAATTACATTAAATTATTCTCGACACGTATTTCTTGTATTAAGATAACGCTATGTTGATAAAAAAGGGGTAGGTAATACATATTATGTATAATAAACGATTTGAGTTATGTACGAAATACTTCTAAGCTATAGAATGCATACTTAACAGTAAAATACGTACTAAGTCTGGAGAGGGTTCATAAAATGTATGGAGAGTTAAGTCATCTTTACACTACATGGTTTATCATATGAATGAGATTGGTTGTGATTCCTCGTTTTCTATGATGTTTTAAAAAATCATGTTAACCCCCTCTGTAGCTCAGTGGTAAGAGCGCCTACCTTTAAACCTAAAGGTCGTGAGTTCGAATCTCATCTGGGTAGAGAAATTTTCGTTTATTAAAAATTAATAAATGAAAATAATTTCTATCCTTTTGCGATCGGTACTCACCTGAGGGACCGCAGACGTTCGGATACAATTAACGTCTCTTAGCAAAGACAATGACGTCGACTTTGCTAAGTATCAAGACAATTACTCTACACACACACACACACACACACACACACACACACACACACACACACACTACACTAGGTACCACCTAACTGTACCATGCCAATGATCTTAGTTGTCGAGGCATTAACTCAATAATAAAAAATAAAAAAAAATCATGTTTACACTGAATCATAAGTTGTAACTTATATGACTGACAATGACGTTATGTTGATTTCTCATTTTTGTTTATAAAAATAAACTAGATACAGACATTAAATATTAGACACATTAAAAGTAACAACTATTAGATTAATAAACTATTATAATGGAAAATGAATCTTTGTTGAAATCATACGACAAATCACATGATAAATCATGTGCGAAATCAACCGTACTTTAGTGAAAAGTAAACATTGAACGAGAAATAAAATTGAAAGTAAGTGCACAAGGCGTAAACAATTAGGTAATAATGTATTTTAACTTTTCTGTCGTGAATGATACGGTTTTGATTGCTGATAATGCTGAGGATCTGCAAACATTAATAGACCGTGTAGTGGAAGCCTGTGACAGATACGGCATGAAATTAAACTGTAAGAAAACCAAAATTCTTGTAGTAAGTAAAAACGATGTAATATAGCACCAATTCACAGCTAATAATGAACGCTTGAAAGTAGTCGACAAAATTACATATCTTGGATGCAGCCTAAATAAGGAATGGGACCACTCACAGGACATAAGATGTCGTATAGAAAAGGCGAGAGCTGTCTTCAATCTCCTCAGGAAGATTTTAAGTAATATGCACCTGAACATTCATATAAGAACACGAGTCTTGAGATGCTATGTATTTTCTACCTTTTTATATGAAGTCGAAGACTTGACCTTGACAAAGGCAATATCCAAACGACTAGAAGCCTTCGAAATGTGGTGCTACCGCCGCATATTACAAACAACACCATGATCCAACCTATGAATAAAGATCTGGAAATTATGCCTATCGTGAAAATCAGAAAGATGACACACTTAGGGCATGCGAAGCACAATGAGAAGTATCAACTAATTCAACTAATTTTACAAGGCAAGATAGAAGGCAAAATATCTCAAGGGCGCAGAAGGACATCGTGATTAAAGAACATCAGATAGTAGGCAGGACTGACTACCATACAGCTATTTAGAGCAGCTGTCAACAAAGTTGTATGGGCCAACGTGATTGCCAACATCCGCAGAGGATGGGCACCAAAAACAGAAGACTTTTCTGTCAATGGGCAACCAGTTGTTAACTTTAAATCCAAAACGAACTAGTGTTTCAGGTTTTAAATATTTTGCTTCTCTCTAATACCGTTTCTTGATTCAGGTATTGGGTTTTATTTTTTAATTTGTAGCACACTACATTTGCGTTTTACTAACCTTAAAAGGTACTTTAAGGTTAGGTTAGTTTAAGAGACTAATTTACGTACTTTTAAAGCATATTTTAAACAATCATATGCGTTTTTCAACAAACATTTGAGAAAACTAGCCACAAATTTGTAATACAATCTACATACATATTTTATTTTTAATGTTCTCACCTTATCAAGCAGTACAGCATATATTCCACCAAGTTGCAAGTATATAGTTTTGTTTAATTGTTTCCCTCCTACCTCTACTGACCAATGACCAGGTCTAAAAAATTCTCTTGCAGATATATTTCCTGAATTTATATTAATTGATTTCGTTTTCTGTGTGTACGTAACATCTATATCAGTATAAGGTATAGTTCTAAAAAAAATCAAACAAAATCATTTTTATGTTGGATATTAAGTTATATTAGGTTTATTAGTAAGTTATATTATTCAGTGGATCCAGTTTCAGTGTAATCTTAAAAAATGCATTGGTAAGCGAAATGGCGCCTTTACAAGAATATAGTAGAACAAACCTCTCTAGCGGGTATCAAATCAAGAAAAAGCTGATTGCGACATTAGAAACAATGAAAACCAAATCCTGGCCAATAATGTCTGAGAAGCTTATAAAATTAAAAAGTTAAATGTGTTATCTCTGCCTGTATTAGTTATGGAGTAAACTTTATAACCGATACAGCCGGTCCTAAGCCTGGAAAAAATAAGAGGGATTAAGGAGTAACATTTCTATAAAAAACCAGAATTCATTTGGCCTGGCTGATAGCCCTTTGTAAGAGTCCTTTGTCTAAGGCTATAGATGAAGACCACAACGGCGATGAAGGCGGATCACAAAATTCGAAACGGCGAATTCGGCGGACGTTACGAAATTTATACGTCAAATGCAGACACAAAGATGGTATATTTTATTCCCGTGGAAATTATAACGGGGACACACAACATATAAATGAGGAGGAAATTTTCGTAATATCGGAACTAGAAAAATATGTCCTCAACTTTATTCCAATAAATGACAGAATAATGCTCTAAACATCGTGATAACTAAACGTTCGGCCAATTCAAGAAATTAGTATTTTAATGGTAATAGAGGCGTAGAGTTGTGTTATACAAGTAGCACCTTTTATCGGAACGACCACATCGAGCGTCATAGACGGGAGATGGTTCTTGATAACTGGTCCTCATAAGACAACTAACTCTCACTTATGACACCACGTGCCACACCCCGGGCAACTGCATTGGTCTGCAGGCTAAACTAAGTGAGGGTAGCCAGATATGGCGAAAACTTCACTGAGCGATTGCCGGTAGAAGCAATTCTCCACTTACTGAGCAACGGCTTCGGGCGAATGAGTTAGTAAGTGGTAGGGCACTCTTTTGTCCTGAGATTGAGAAATCGATCTCGAAGGCAGATGAATCAAGATCAACGGCATAAGGATACAAAAGGCAACGGGGATCCACTGTATTAACGGCTCGTAGAGTACCCCTAGTATAAATCATCATGGCAAAGAATAGCGAGATCATGATTATCGGAAACCAAGATCCGACATCGATCCGTATCGCCACATGGAATGTGAGAACGCTATTTGAAGTAAGAAAACTATACAATGCTAGTCAAGAGATGTGTCGGCTACAGATCAGTATTTTAGGACTCAGCAAAGTCAGATGGGTGCGATCGGTACTCACCGGAGGGACCGCAGACGTTCGGATACAATTAGCGTCTCTTAGCAAAGGCAGTGACGTCGACTTTGCTAAGTATCAAGACAATAATTACTCTACACACACACACTACACGCCTGACTGTAAAAATTTATTGTACCATGCCAATGACCATTAGTTGTCGACGCATTAAACTCAATAAAAAAAAGTCAGATAGACAAATGCAGGTCAATGCGTCACCCCAAACGGTACCATATATTTTTCAGGACGAAATGACAATCATCATAGTAATGGAGTGGCTTAAGCCTGTAGCTATGGTAAAGGAAATAAGTAAGTCGATTATAAACTTTGTACCAGTGTCAGATAAAATTATATTTCTACAACTATCAACTATTCAGGGAAAACTAAATATTGTTCAAATATATGCTCCTACAGCGGAGAATAGCGAAGAAGACAAAGAAGAATTTTATAAAACCATTGAACAAATACTGAAAGTTGTTAAGTCTATAGACATAACAATTATAATGTTAGATTGCAATGCGAAAATTGGGAAAGGAGAATGTGGCAAATGAGTTGGAAAATATGGTCTCGGCAAAAAAATGAAAGAGGCGATCGGCTGTTGCAATTTTGCCCGGAAAATAATTTTATAATTAAAAACACATCGGAATTTCGGAACAGCAAAAAGACTTATCAGGAGAAAAGACAGGATTTACGTACCAGAGGAATACAACATAATGATCTCTACTGCCAAAACAAGAGGATTTTCGGTAACAACAAACACCTCAGACGACATATTCGACTTTAAAAACACTTGGAAAAATTATTACAAAAAAAACGTATAAGTCGGTGGACAAAACGTCTACATTTATGATATCCAAATATAGATATTTAGAGTATTCTTCTTTGCAACCGTAGGGTATTTGGATAATAACTTCCCATTGGTTTAATATATCGCTTAAAATAATTATTGATAAACTGGTTCACTTACATGAGGTACAAATCATATCACCCCCAAGACCCATGACTACCCCTTTATTATACAGTAAAGGTCGGAACTATTTCACAATTTAGCTAATTTATTCCTCAAATTGGCAAAAGTTCTCTGGGATCATTAGGCAATGTCTGTTTCAACTTATGCCATAATGTCTCAATAACATTAAGGTCTAGATTGTTCGAAAGCCATGAGAAGACGTTAATGTTATTGTCTTAAAACCATTTTTTAGTTGTTTTAGCTGTATGGCATTCAGCACCATCTTGTTGGAATATAAAATTCAAGTTCTGCTAGAGATCGTGACCACTTGGTACAAGACTATTTTTCAAAATTTTTTGAAACTTTGATTGCGCCTTCCACCACCTCATATCTTCCTAGACCAGCTGATAGCACGCACCCTCAAATCATAATTCCTTGGGGACACTTCACAGTTCTTTGGAGGCAATCTGTATTGATTTATTCATTTTTAGTTCTAATAACCCTTTTTCTAAAGTCTCCCATGCAAACATCAAATTTCCATTCCTCACTTAATATGAATGTGAACCGGTTTTTAACGGTCTACGAAAACTTTAACCCATTAGTGCCTAGCGTTACAATTATGTAACGGCAAAGTGGTGCCATCTAAATAGATCCTCTGTTGCATACGTCGCAAATTTTCAGTCGAAAACAGGTCAGTTCTTGTCAGAAGGTTATACTGTTTACATCATTTTAGGTGTGCTATTTTATTAGAACTTTGTTTTGAGTTTGTGCCTCGATAAAGTATAACTAAACAAATAAAGCTTCAAATAATGGACTTCGTCGATAAAGAGTAAGTATATAAATCTCATTTTGTATAATAACGTTAATATTAGAAAACAAAGAGTAAAAGTAAATATAAATATATATTTTTTCAAATAAAAAAGTTGCTAGGTTAGGAAGTTGACTGTTACATATTTGTAACGCTAGGATGTAATGTAAGCATATTTTACAGTTATTTTGTACGGATGTATTACGTATTTTGTTTTCATTGTATGGTATTTTTAATAACATTTTTCGAAATATTAGTATACAGAGTGTTTATAGGACTTCAGGAAATTTAAAAATGCAGTATGTACCTACTAAGTTGTTTTTTTTTTATTTCAGAGGCCTTGCTCAGTTCTTCAAAGAGGCCTGACTGTTCAAGAAGCTATCGATATAGCCTTTGGAGAATACGACGGGATAGATGACTCTATAGAGGCAGTTTATATAGCGCCACCGGATCCGGCTACTCTGACGGATGAGGATCCCGGAGATGAGGATGAGGGCGGAGATTTGGACAATTTGAGCAAACGTCAGCTACTTGCCGATGCAGAAGTTAGGACTACTAATGGAATTATACTGGGAGAAGATGATTCTATTCAACCGCCAGAATCGACAGATTTTTTTGACAAATAATGATATCGATATTACACCTGCTCATATGGTTTATCCAAAAGTTTCTGCAGCCCGGGATTGGGTTTCGGGAGATTTCACATATAACGAGAGACAATTTCCTGAGTCAGATTATTCACTGTTTAAAAACAAATCAGTTGTAGATATATTCGAAATGTTCATAGATGAAGAAATCATTTTATTTTTGGTACAGGAAACAAACCAATATGCTACTTTTAACAACCTATCCGACCCAGGAGTCTCGCCAGAGGAAATTAAATGTTTTATTGCTATAATGATTCTCAGTGGTTATAATGATCTTCCCAGCAAACGTATGTATTGGGAGCAAAGTCTTGACACCAAACACGAACTTATATATAATTCTATGAGACGCAACAGGTTTGAGCAAATTTTGAGGCTTATTCACTTGAATTCTAACGCAAATATTGATAAAGGTGATAAGCTCTGGAAATTAAGGCCATTTATAAATAAAGTGAAAGACAGGTTCAGAAAGTATTTTGTTCCTGAAAAAGATACCATACGGTTCCAAACCCATACGATTTGGTTATAAAGTTTGATGCCTAAATACAGTGATGGGCTATTTGATTGATTTCGAGATATATCAAGGAAAATCTGTAACTCCTGATATTGACATAGAAAGAAACTTTGGAAAAGCGGCAGCACCACTGGTGAAAATGATAGAAGAACTACCTGATAATCTGAAATCTTTTCCATTCTCATTTTACTTTGACAATTTATTTACTACATTCAGTTAATTGTCTTATTTACGTTTAAAAGGATACGGAGGCACGGGGACTATAAGAGAAAATCGTTTACCTAGGAGCTGCCCTTTATTGGCCAAAAAAGATCTTCACCAACAGGAAAGGGGATATTATGAAAGTGCTATTAGTAAGACAGATGCTGTACTAGTAGCTAAGTGGGCCGATAATTCCGTAGTTTGCATTGCTTTCAATAAATATGGTATCAATCCAATAACAAATATTAAACGTTATTCACAAAAAGAAAAAAAACACATACAAGTTAGCAGACCAGCAGTATTTGCAGCATATAACAAAAAAATGGGTGGTACTGATCGAATGGATCAGAACGTTGGACAGTACAGGATTCAAATTAGAAACAGGAAATGGTACTGGGCATTGTTTTCATGGCTTCTTGATGTTTCAGTCAATAACGAGTGGTGTTTGTATCGAAAATAAAACAACTCTCAGATGTCCCAAATAGATTTTCGAAGGGCTATCGTGAAAGTTTATTTGAAGAAATATTCGTCACCGCCCAAAGGCACTGGCAGAACTCCATCTCCATCTTCTAATGCGCAAAGAGCAGCCGATGAAGTTAGATATGATAGGATGGACCACCTAGTGGGTAAAATTCCAAACGACAAAAGAAGGCGCTGTGCTGGAACATCTTGCAAAAGTTCAACACGCACGATATGTAGGAAATGTAACGTAGGTCTTTGTATCGATTGTTTCGTTACCTATCATACAAACCAAAATGTTTAAATTCCATTTTCTTTATTTTCCGTATTTAAATAAATAAAACTGTTTGCAGTTATATTTTGTATTTTTTGCACCCATTAGCTCCTAGCGTTACATATATGTAACGTCATATATTGAGTGATCTATAAATCCGAATGCACAAATTCATTGATTTTTATGTTTTTTAATCAAACTGCTCCCAAAAAAATATTAGCATCACATTAAAAACTGGAAAAAAATAATCTGGGCACTAATGGGTTAAGCAACCACTTTAATTGGACATCCAAGATTTCATGGACCATTAATGACTGGGCCACAATCATATTTAGTGACCAATCGAAATTTGATGTTTGCGTGGAAGATTTTCGAAAGCGAGTTATCAGAACTAAAAATGAAGCATTCCATAAAGATTGCCCCAAAAGAACTGTAAAGTATCCCAAAGAAATTATGATTTGGGGGCGCATATCATCGCAATTAAGGCATCAAGAACCTAAAAAGATAATCTTGTAACAAGTGCTCACAATCTCTAGCCGGATTGAATTTTATATTGCAGCAGGACGGTGCTGTATGCCATAGGGATAAAATAACTAAAAAGTGGTTTGAAATCCAGAAAAACAGTTTTGTATATAAAAAAATAATAGTAATTAGTTTTTAGGAAGGTACTGAGAAGGTAGAAATTTAAAAAAATAAAATGAGAGAATTATCCAAAATTTTTATATTGTCGTAGACTCACAGACCACACCCGATGAACGGAGGGTTAAACATTTTTACAAAATAGACTGGATAGCACAGAAAACTTTTAGTTTTGTGAGTGTAGATAGTTACTTATGTTTCAATTATTTATTGTTTTGTTTATTACTTTCTTAACTAATTCTGCTTTGACAAAATATTAATTCAAAATTGTAGTAATGATGTAGTAGCTATTATATTGTATATAACTAGATGAATATTAAATCCAAAAAGAAATAAATAAATAAAGCTCACCTCACTACAGGAAAACCAGTTCTGGTTTTAGCAACATCATCTTCATAAAGGCGAATCGTCCCATTTGCTTGAATAAAAATACCATAGGCCTTCTTTTCAGATAGAGAAATTTTTTGGACACCATCTGGACAGTCTTTAGTAATAGCCTTGAATGTAAATGTTATAGATTTTTCTCCACTCCATTCAATATCTTGATTCACATATGAAGATTTTGGTTCTAATGTAAATGGCTTTATTTCTGACATATCGGTGCTAACAGATGTAATACAGTTTGACGGATTATGCGCCCTTAATTGTATGTTACCAGCTGATGGCAATACTGGATCATTTTTTTCAATAGCAATCATGACAACTGCAGAAACAGCAAAAGCGACAGCCGTTAAAAGTCCTCCACAAGTCATTCGCTGAAGAGAAGTCTTCAGTAAGTTACATTTTGCTAAAATATTATTAGAATGTTATAGAAATTTAATTTAAATGAAATTCATTTGACTTTGCTATTTTTATGGACATCATCTTATACTACTATATGTATTTGACATTATAGTCCTAAAATATTTTAATCTCTAAATTAAAAAGTAATATCGCCAAAGCTTTTTAACCTAGCCTTAGAAGACGTCTTCAAAACTACAAATTGGTTAACCTATGGCATTAACGTTAATGGCAACAAGTTAAACCACCTCAGATTCGCTGATGACATAGTGATTATAGCGAGCACATTCGAGGAACTGCAAATTATGTTGGGGAACTAGCAGCCAGCTCCCAATACGTCGGCCTAAAAATGATAATGAAAAAAACAAAAATAATGACAAACACAGAAGACCCCAGACATATAACTATAAACGGCAGTGAGATAGAACAAATCCAGGAATATATCTACCTAGGCCAAATCCTGAGACTTGACAAAGAGAACCAGACTGTGGAAATTACTAGAAGAGCAAGACTAGCATGGACAGGGTTTGAAAAACTTAGTTGGATACTTAAGAACCGCAAAATACCCCAATACTTAAGGAGCAAAGTGTTCATCCAATGCATCCTTTCTATCATGACATATGGATGTCAAACCTGGACCCTAACAAAGGCAAACATGAATAAACTAGCCACAACAGAAAGAACAATGGAAAGAGAAGAAAGTTAGGTATACGACTGTCAGATAAAAAGAGGAACGACTGGGTAAGATCCAAAACAAAAGTCGAAGACATAACAATAAAAATTGCAAAACTTAAATGGAGCTTCGCGGGCTACACTGCTAGACAGAAGGACCAACGTTGGAATACTACAATACAACATTGGAGACTTTACGAAAGAAAACGACCAAGAGAAAGACCACATATGAGATGGGTTGAAGACATTAGAAGAATAGCCGGAACAAATTGGGAATATGTTGCTCAGGATAGAGACCGATGGAAGGAGTTGGGGCCTATGTTCAAACATGGACGACAGAAGGCTAAGAAGAAGAAGAAGAAGAAATTAAAAAGTAACACTGATGGTTTCCAATATTGATTAATATACAGGAAATATAAAATACTAAAATACAAAATAGAATAAATAGATTAAAGCTAACTTTGTAAACGAATTCGCAATAATTGTTAAGAATTTATAAAAGACTGAAGAATATTTGCCACATAATAATAATATCGTATGGAATGTTGCCGGTGAGAACCTTTGGGATTGTTTCGGGGCTGATTATTCCAGCTTAGGGGGAACAATCAGCCCCGGAACAATCCGGGGCTTTACGCGTCCTCCAAAACATGGTTACGGCTTCTATAATCTTTAGAAATTAAAAATTAACGGTGTCCAGAATTGAACTTCTGTGTTCCATCTTAAAATGCCACTACCTTAGCCGATGAGCTACGTCTGACACTATTTGCAACAATATGTCTATATAAGTAGCCTATTATCAAAGTCACCAATCTCCACCTTGACCAATTTTACAGGAACCGTGAAGTTCTGTGGTAGTGTGGTAGCTATTTCGGTTACGATTTCTATAATTATTATAATTTGCTGTAAATATGTAATGAGAATTTTATTTCACACACATTTTTTAGAGTATGTCAGTAAAGTATCTACTGGAAAAATTAAAAAGGAAATGAACATTGGCGCATGTGGCGTTGTAAATACAGGAAACTCCTAGGTCCTCATCCAATGACCTGATCTAATTTCATTTCTAGATGGTTCAGGCAACTAGTTTAAAATATCAATTACTATTTTAGCTCCAGGTGGTCTTTTTTAATAGTACCATTTGCTTTTTTCGGCAACAAACGTGAAAACCATAATCATATCCAATGGAACCAGTTATCATCCCATTCTTATATTCACATTTGACTGACCTCTAATTAACTGTTTAGCTAGGTTATGACCAACATATTTGACCATGGATTTGTCTAAGGAAATATCTTTATGGAAACATCCCCAATGGCAGTATTTTTCTATAACTTTATCTGCTAAAAGTCTAATTTTGTACAAACAAACTGTAGAATCGCCTATTTTGACATTATCGGCTAGATGAACAAACTTTGTTATTTATAAATACTTATCTCTGCTCAAAACGTTGTAAACACAGGAAACTCCTAGGTCCTCATCCAATGACCTGATCTAATTTCATTTCTAGATGGTTTAGGCCTATATTTCAAAAGATCAATTACTACTTTAGCTCCAAGTGGTATTTTTTTATTATCTTCAATATCATTCGTTTTTTTTTCGCAAAAAACGTGAAAACCATAATCATACCCAGTGGAACCAGTTATCATCCAATTCTTATATCCAAATCTGACTGGCTCCTCTCTAATTAATGTTTTGCTGGGTTATGACCGAAATATTTCACCATGAATTTGTCTAAGAATATATCTTTAAGGAAACTCTCCACTAGCAGTATTTTTCTATTAATCTGATATTCAAATTCTACTTTTCAGTGTTGTCAATAAACTATTATTATTACACATTAGTGAATAAATAGTTTGTATGATTAGAATTATATTTTATTTATGTAATTAATTTAGAAGTTACTTAATAAATTTTTGAAAGCAGTCTTTTTGTGTTACTTATACTATGACCAAAAAGCAGTAGTGAGAATAGAAGAAATAACATCAGAAGAAATGGAAGTACAAAGAGTTGTTCGACAAGGGTGTATACATACACCAGTATTATTTAATATGTATACTCGGGAGACATATTAAGTAAGGCAATGGATTAACGAAACGTAGACATTAGAATTAATGACATGATCATAAATAACCTGAGATACGTGATGATACAGTTCTTTTAGCCGAATCACATGAAGACCTACAGATACTTTTTAATTAGGTGACCGCAGTAAGCGAAGAAGAATATGGACCGTCACTCAACAGAGCAAGAAATATATGATAATAACAAAGACAACTCAGGACATTCGTGAGATATATGTACAAAATCAGTCTATTGAAATAGTAAGAGAATTCAAATACCTAGATACAACTATTAATGAAAACAATGACAGCTCTCGAGAAATACGAATCAGAATCAAACAGGCCAGAAGCGCATTTACAAGAATACAAGAGCTTCTCTGCTGTAGAAACTTAAACCTTAAGTTAAAATACGACTGCTGAGGTGCTACGTGCTATCCGTATTATAATACGGGATGGAAGCGTGGACACTGAAGAAAATTCACGTGAGGAGACTGAAGGCATTCGAGATGTGGATGTACCGCAGAGTACTAGAGATCTCATGGATAGATGGAATAACCAACGTTGAGGTAATGTGACGAATGCATAAGGAAAGAGAAGTACTAACAATTAAGATCTGAATAGTGGGATATATGGGTCATGTGATGAGAGGAGATAAATATCTAATACTCCAGATCATTATGCAAGGAAAAATCCAGAGAAAAAGATCCATAGGAAGGAGACGTAACCCATGTAATAACGGCTCATTTAGAGCCGCTGTCTCAAAATTAAAAATCGCTGTGATGATTGCCAACTTTCGACGCGTAGACAGCCCCTTGAGAAGAAGAAGATACAAAAATTCAATAAATGAATCATTTCGTCGTCAATTTCGAATGTTTCCATATTTATAAATTTAATAAACAATATTGTTTACTTTTTATTTTTATTAATATACGGGATTACTCCCTGTGGCTAAGTACGATCCTGGAATCTGTCAGATTCTTCAATAATTATGAAATAATGCTCGACACACCTAATTCATTATATGACGTCATAATTAATGACGCACTGAAAAGTACCTCTGGGATGTACTTTACTAATACTGCATTTTTGGGTACTTTAATACAAATTTAGCTGCTTTCAAGTAATTTGAAATGGGTCTAGTTAAATCAAAAGTCATTCTTGAGAGAATGAGTCTTCGTGGTTAGGTACGATTAATAGATCCATGTCCTGTAAAGGTACTTTGTAGTATTCCAACCTTGGATTTTGCAGCCAAGTGTTATCAAAATGAATTTCAAGCAAACTCTTGACGTCTTTTAACCTCTCCTGATTGACGTTTTGTATATTGTCAGCTTTAAGTATGATAGGATTGATACGAGATAACCTTTCTTTAATCTTAGTTATGCTTCGAAACACTTCAGTTGAAACGTTGACATTTGGATCACTCTTCACCAAAATATCTCTGGGTTTTTTGATAGATCCCTTCAGATAAAGTCGCTTATATTCGGTAAGTTTAAAATGTCACTGCTTTGTAGCTTTACTGAAGCGATCAGCCTTAGTCTTACAGTCGAAAACGTTAAAATCTTGGTCAGCTAACAAAACAGTGATATAATCTTTGATTTCAATGTAATATCCTACAGGATTTCCTACAACTTCAAGATTTTTTATTTCTCCCTCAATCAATTCCTATCAATATCCTATCGGAGGTAAAATGAGTGCCTCTAACAGGGAATAATAGCTTCATTGTTTTTATATTTGCATAACCATTTCAAGCAGATAGTAAGCACAATTCTGTCCTTTATTTTTGTCCGCCACATACAAGTCTCACAGTAGTTATCTTTACCATATCTGTTTAGCATTAACGGTGCCAGATTGCAGAGGCTAAAGGCTACATGATTGGAAGATTTCCCGTATTGGTCCTCGGTTCAGCGATAGCTGAATAAGTTCTGAGGCCCAAGTGCAGCCTTTAACCCTTTAAACGCCGAATCATTAAAAACTGTAAAAAAATTTCAACTATCCATAAAAAAGATGTTATTGGGATATCTTTTATAATTTTGTTTTGTGAAAAAAAAATAAAATGCTGTATTTTGAGAAAAAAACCATGTTCCCAAAATGGGAACGTTGGCATCTATAAGTCACAACATATAACAAAGTAATATCATTGCAGTAAAAACATATTTTATTCCATATATTATAACAAAACTAACAAAATTTAAAATAAAACTATAAATCTAATGTTACAAATAATATGTTAGCAAGGTGAGTGATATTTATCAAAACAAAAATTTTTATGTAGACG